TTACACCCCTAATCCCCCTATAAATATCAACAAACTCGACAGATTTGGGGATCTCTCTTTTTTTTTTGGACCGCTTAGATCGGATTTTTGATAATCAAATCGAGAGGCTGGACATTTGGAGATCGGATCTTGATCTTTCGATCAGATTTTCCAGAATTAGAGAAAGAGAATCAACTCTTTACACAGTCTGGGGAATCAACATCCACGGAGGAGCTCCAAACCGTCAATACTTGGCCTATTAACCGAATCATTTTCGGTTCAAACAACTCTATTACTAGAGTTTGTTATTTGTTCTGAATCACGAAACTCATCAAGAGTTGTCAATTAGACAAGATCGTTGTTCCAGTGAGTATAGATATTCGGATCGTCAACGAGAAGCAAACTCGACGCAAGCATTCGAGGGAGGCATCTCATCGCTACCGTGAAGAACCCAGAATTAAACAAAGGAGAGAATCCAGATCATTCTCTTCTCTTTTGTAATCAGGAATCCAAATTGTAATCGAGAGTTGAGGGAGTTGTAATCATTCTTTTTCTAAGCAGTTAGAGAGAATAAAATCAAACGCAATTCTTTTCATTCATTTTCTTATTACAAAATTTCCAACAAACAGTGGCCTTTTTCAGCAATAAGTTGGGCCATCATATCTTTTAATTGGAGAAGTGTCTCCTGTTGCGCCTGGAGCATGACGTGATGTTCGTCCACTCTTTTGGCTATGTCCTCGGGATTTCCCGCCATATAAGAAGATACCTCTTGTTGTCCGACCGAGCTCGAAGATTGAGATTCGGCTATTGCCGAATGTTCATCACTTGTGGTAATCCTTTTGGCTAACTTTTGATAGTTAACCAGGCGAATAGCTCCTGTCCGAGTCCGGGTATGCTGATATACTCCTTCGAACTGGTCACAAATTTCCCTAACAGTTGGGGAATGACTTGTTTGTGACTCATCAGAATCAGGATGTGAGGATTTGCCTCTGCCGACCATGTTGATAGTAACCTCGGGATAATCGATTTCAGAGGTCTTCTTCTGGTGACGTTGTCGTTTGGGAGGTCTAGCGACATTCGTCAACCTATTAAACACTGATTGCCTAGGCGTCGGTGAGCAACAGCTGCATTCGGAGAGTACAGCGGATATGAGCCGCTCACATTGGCATGAATGAGCCACTTGCTGTGTTGGCCTTCCTCTTGATAGTAATTCACGCAAGTCGGAGACCTGGGGAAGATTTCGTGAAGGTGGGGATGGAACCCCCTGCCCTTGGATGGGTTGGACATGGACCTTAAATCCATGCTGTCCATCTTGAACCTTACGGACCATGTCGTGTTCTTGAGACGAAACATGAGGGTCACGTTTAGGTTTATATACACGAGGTTGAGGCCTGTGTTTGACTGATGGAACAGATCCTTGTGGATCTTGTCCTGATTGAACGCACACTTGTGGTGTGCGTTTTGATGTTGGAACAGACCCCTGCGGGTCTTGTTTTGATTGAACGCACACTTTAGGTGTGCGTTTTGATAATGAAACAGACCCCTGAGGGTCGTTCTTTGTTTGAACGCACACTTGTGATGTGCATTTGGTTGATGACCCAGACCCCTGAGGGTCGGGTTTTGATTGAACGCACGCCTGTGGTGTGTGTTTAGATGATTGAACAGACCCCTGGGGGTCTTGTTTTGGATGAACGCACCCTTGTGGTGTGCGTTTGGTTGTTTGAACAGACCCTTGAGGGTCTTGTTCTGATTGAACACACGGCGTGCGTTTGAATGATTGAACGTGCTTTTGGAAGCCACGTTTCGGGACGCACTCTTGAGGTGTGCGTCTATGTTGAACAACGCGCCACTGAGGGTCTCGTTTGAGTTGGATAACCCGAGGCTCATAGTCGAGTTCATTGCCACGAAGTGTGCGTTCTGGAGCAGAAATGCACAGTTCGGGCACAGGCTCCGAAACGCAGTCTTTGCGTTAGGCAGTAGCTCGGCTATTCCGCAAGTACGCTCGCCGTAAAGATCTTCTCCTTCGTCGAGCAGCATTTTTCTTGGCCTGTTTCAAGGCCTTGGCCGCAGCATCGTCGGCGTTGGTCGGATTCTCCTCCGACATAGGTCTCTTTTGACCTATTATGTGCCGTAGTGATACGGGGGCGGAGTCTTCAACTCGCAGAGCGAGTTTAAGGTCTTGACCAAAGGAGAGGGCTTTCTTTGGCATCTCAGCAGTAGTGATGACCTCCTTAGAGGTCCTGTGGGTATCACGCCTAGCTTTTGGGCTAAGCGACCCAGAGGAGAGGGCCTCCTCATACTTGGCTTGGTCGAACTCTACGACGAGAGTTTCGACAGTGGTTCCAGTAAGGTGAACGTCGGATTACGCCACCACTTCCTCGTCATAGAAGCTAGTCCCCAGCAGAGTCGCCATCTTTTGTTTGTTGGAAATTTGTAGTAAAAATACAATGAAAGAAAAATTAACTTGTATTCTCTCAAAATCAATTACAATTTGGATTCCGATTACAAAAGAGAGGAGAATGAATTTGATTCTCCCATTTGTTTAAAACTGTGTTCTTCTTGGTAGCGGTGGAGTGCCTCCTTCGATTGATCGCGTCGAACTTGCTCTCCGTTGACGATCCGACCGTCCTTCTTCACTGGAATAACTGAAGTGTTTGATGACTTCGGTTTAGAACTCTTGACGAGTGTTGAAGAACTCTGAACGAGTTAAGAACTCTGATAAGAGTTGTTGAAAACCGAATGTCTGGTTTGATGTGATTAACTTGCGTTGCAAGCTAATTAAGAACTCTTAACGAGTTTAAGAACTCAGAATGAGTTAAAACTCTGTAACAGAGTTGTTGGAACCGAAAATTCGGTTAATTGCCAAGTGGATGATACCTTTGATGAAAGGATCCTTCGGGATTTGATTAACTGATCGTTGATCAGTTCCTTGATCCCCCGAAGATCTCTTCCTTCCGATTACTCAACTGCCGAGATTTGTTGACCTTGGGTGGTTTTGATACCAGCTCCCCTCAACTCTTTGCGGTTTTGTATGCGGTTTTTCTGCTAGAAACCGATCAACCCCTTACTCAGTTGAGTAAGTCGGTTATTTATAGGGGGTTAGGAGTGTAACCAACCCCTAAATCCGCTCCTGAGTGGGCGAAGATCCCTCAGAACGTGGGATAACGGTTTTAAGGCCGTTCGGTTTGCGTTTGAACAAGTCAAAACGCCTCAGTTGGCGTTCTGGGCTTTAACTCTGTGTCCAAGGCTTGAGACGCAGAGTTAAATCTCTGTTAGAGATTTGAGACGCACAGGCCGCATGCGTTCTGGAATTGGAAACGCACAGGTCGCTGGTGCGTTGGAGTTCAACTCTGCGTCCAGAGTTTGGGGCACATAGTTGAACCTGTTGAAGAACGCACGTTATGTGTGCGTTTAGTGCTTTAACTCTGCGTTGCACAGTTAGATATTTGCTGGAGAACGCGCAGGGTGTGTGCGTTTCGTGATTTAACTCTGCGTTACAGAGTTCAATGTCTGCTGAGGAACGCACAGGTTGTGTGCGTTTTTTGAATTCGAGAAACACAGAAGTGAATTTCTGCGTTTGAGAGAGGTTGTTGACTTGTAACCTCGTCCATTATAACATTGCAAAGGCTATTGCTTATTGATCTTTGCTTGTTATAGGATATGAGAGTCGTCAGATTGTAACTCTCACTGTTGGTTGTGAAGGCCACTAAACAGAGTTTTCATCAGCTGTCGGAAGTGTCGTCGAATTGTTACTCTTCTCGATCTGTGTGGAAAGTCTCCTATTTGCCGTTTTCGATTGTCGGCGCGAAAGCTATTTGATTGTAGCTTTCATTGTTGGAGCTTGACGGGAATCAACATCCATAGTGTCTTCTGGACGAATATTTGCCCACAGCTCTCTACCAAGCAACTCACCAACTAAGTCCAACCTTTTATTTCTGAAATCATTACACTGCTCATCAGCATCTCTAGTAGTTGCTAATATAATATTAGTCATGCTGTTGTCGCAGCCATCAAGATCAATCATCTCAGAGATGAGGCCGTGTTTATAGCGGTTGCAGAGTTACGGATGCAGTGATTAGAAAGTCGTCTGATTGTAACTTCCATTATCAGGGCTTGATAGGGATCGGCTATCTATTATGATTTTTAGACAGCCTACAGGCTCGGAAGTAAGTGAAATGTGCATTAGTTAGGAAAAAAATTATTATTATTATTTCTTTTATTAGTTACTTGCTAACAACTTTTTGTTGTTATCCAAACAAAAAAAGAGAATAAAAGAATAAGAAGTACTATTTCTACTGCTTCAAAAAATATATGAAACAAATAAAAAAGTATTACTTCCATTACTTTCTACTTCATAAATTTAAAAGTATTACTTCCATTACTTTCTACTTCATAAATTTAAAAGTTATTTCTTATACTAATTTAGGGAGATTTATCTGTTTCAAAATGATTTTCTAACAAAATATTCAAAGTACACTTATATTATAATTATAAAAGAATATCTGTATCTCACAAATTTAAATTTCTATTTTAAAAAATGATTTAGAGATGAAACCATCATGAAAATATCTTTTTAATTAAATTGTTCACTATTTACAAGACATAATACCTATCAAACAAATTTATTTTAGTATTTAACAAATATCGTCCTTGGATTTAAAAAAAAAAGGATATTTGAACTCGGATTTGAATCTGAATTTGAATATTTTTAACGAACGCAAATCTCAACACCTCAATTGGTTGTAAGAGAGGTGGAGATGGGTATAAATTTTGCTATTTCTCAATATGTTGTTCGCATGAAATCGTATCCTCTTCGATATAACAAACAATTTACTTTCCAATTGTGATCTCATATCAAATGGTAATTTATTTTATTTCAAATAAAATGCGAAAATGATAATAATTTACTAGTTAAATTTGCATTGAACCTATCTGTTTAAAATACAAAAATAAAAGATCATGATTTAATAAACAAAAATTGCACCGTCTTTATTTCTAAAAATAAGAAATGGCCAAATAAAAATCCAACTCCGCTCGCGGGAGGCCAATAGATGTTCTCAAAATTAAAGCCTGTTTCTCATGGAAAAAATATCCGTCGGCAAAAATTTCCATCTTGAGTTGATGAGACGTATAAAGTTAATAAGGGAGCTCTGCTTCTCTGGAAAAATCAGTGAAGCAGTCAAGCTGTTGTTCACTTGCGACCATTACTGTGATCCCCAGACCTATGCTTTTCTTCTTCAAGAAACTATAAACCTTAAAGAATCCAAGCTCGGAAGAAGAATCCACACCCACATGATAATCAATGGCCATGTCCCCAATCACTATCTAACCACAAAGCTCGCCATATTCTATGCCAAAACTGGGGTTTTGGACTCTGCCCGTTACCTGTTCGATGAAATGCCTCATAGAGGCTTAGTCCCTTGGAACGCGATAATCTCGGGTTATGTACAAAACGGTCTTGAACAACAAGGTTTGGATCTCTATTACTCAATGCGGGTTTCTGGACTGTGCCCGGATCACTTCACGTTTGCATCGGTGTTTCGAGCTTGTGCTGGACTGGCGAAACTAGAGCATGGCAAGCGAGCTCATTGTGTTATGATGAAGATACCAAAACTGAGGGATAATGTGGTTGTCAGTAGTGCACTTATTGACATGTACTTCAAATGTACTAGTCCTTGTGACGGCCGTCGTGTATTTGAGAGAGCTTCAGATAGAAATGTTGTTTCTTGGACAGCTTTGATATCAGGTTACGGTAATCATGGTAACACGACAGAGGCTCTTTATTTGTTCCATCGAATGATAGAAGAAGGGACCAGACCAAATTATGTAACTTTTTTAGCAGTTCTTTCTGCTTGTAGCCATGGAGGATTCATTGATGCAGGATGGAAGTATTTCAATTCCATGGAAAAAGAGTATGGGATTATACCAAAAGGGGAACATTATGCTTCGATGATTGATATGCTTGGTCGAGCAGGGAAATTAGAGGAGGCTTTCGAATTCATCAAGAAGTCACCGTGTAAAGAACATTCAGTGGTTTGGGGTGCTCTGCTTGGTGCTTGTAGGATCCACGGTGATGAGAAATTGGGGAAGATTGTGGCGGAAACTTTTTTTGAATTGCAACCGGATAACATTGGGAAGCATATTGTTTTGTCGAACACCTATGCAGCTCTTGATATGTGGGAGAAATCTGCTGAGCTTCGTCAAAGTATAGGTATGCTAGGGACGAAGAAAGAACCTGCGCTAAGTTCAGTTGAAGTAAAGGGGGAAGTTTGGACTTTCCTTGTTGGAGATAAATCTCATGAAGAAAGTGAAATGATATACGAAACACTCAATGCATTGAATTTCACATTGATGGAAGGAGGTTGAATTATGAATTGAGATGTAGATGATCTTTGATGATGTTGAGTTTATGGTAATCACGTCCAGCTTCCTTAAGCACATGTAAGTTGAAATATGTTCATATGTTTCCCTTTGCTGAGGAACTATTACAAATTTTAGCAGCTCCGTCACATGTAACCTTGATTCTATGCAGCATGATGGTGTAAATACTTCCTGATGCTCCTAAGTTAATTAATTTTCTCTAATTCAGGATGCTGGCAAGAATTTTTGTGGAGGTAAAGATTACTGAGAGGAGCAGTTCGCATTGACTGCCGTGAGAACCATGTGATGGTTATGGATTTTCGAAGTTCTCAGAGTCATCTACAAGGTTTGTGCTTGTGTTAGTTTCTAAATTTAATTGCTTCTTATTCTTTGAAAGTCTAAGTATGGTTAAATATCCTTATGTTAAATCTAATATTTGAGATCTAAATCATAAAGCCATGATTAATTCAAAGAGATTAACAAGAATCAAAAAGTGCGGAAGCATATACCTGAATCCATTGAGGAAAACCTGATTAGGATTTTGATGATCTTCTAATCTTAGGGTTTCTCCCTTATGGATCTCTTTAGATGGGGATAAGAGAATGAGAGTGGCTAACCCTAGATTAGGGACCATAACCTCATATATATAGGTGTTGTACATTTGTAATTTGGCCCCTCATCAAATTACAATTACAACCTGGTATCTGCACATATAACCCCATGATTTATTTAAATACTCATTAATCCAAATTGATTGATCACTTTAAGTGGGTTATCCTTAAGGATATCAATACACATTGATTAATCATAGGTGCCCACAATTAGATTTAATTAGATTTAAATCTAACAATCTCCCATTTGGGCATCATATGATTCCTTAAATTGTGTATAACCTTATGAGCTCATAATTGCTATCACTGAAAAGGTATTTCCGAACAATCTCGTCCATTGACTATATCAATATAGGATCAAAGCGGCATTCGTCACATTTATCGTGACTCGACTCATCAATGGTCACATATACCAATACAATCAAACGACATAGATCAATCATGGATGTGCAGCATGAAAATTACATGCAATATGATTAGTACATGTCTATTTTCAACTGGTCCTACTTTAGTGAGGTCAAAACCAAACATAATGTAACAGAATATCTTAACTGAATATTTTATTCTGATCAGATAATACAACCAAACACAAAGCACCAAAAAATTACAAACTCCCACTAAATCATGATATCCTCGAATATCACCACACCCATATGAGCGGTGTGCTCATGAAAGTGTTGGATATTTTTAAAGAAAAGGCAATTTTACCTTAATGAATTCTAATAAATTTTTGTAATTAAAATATGCAATTAAAATATGTTTTAATGTGTTTTAATTTGTAATTAAAATGGGCATAATGACTATACATTATGACGAACGTTACGAAATTTATTGAGGGATTTTGTAACGGCTCTTTTCAACCCCTATATAAACAACATATGTTGAGCTCAAGAAACATGAAGAAAAATGTGGAAAACTTATCTTGTTTTCTTTTCTCCTCTACATATCATTTTCATCTATACTTTAGTTTTACTTTATGGGCAACTTCTTCATCTGAGCTGAAGCTCTGCACTCTCGCCCGAGTGCAGAGGCCGGGCCGTTTCCGGGGGTTTTTACCGCTAGGGGAGAAGGGATCATCTGCGCCAGGGCGATAGGCGGGTCCTCAATCTTCTAGGGCAGTGTTTACACGACTGCTCCCGTCAGGCCTGTTTCTCTAATTTATATTATCTATCTTTGATGTATTATTTATTTAATTTCCGGGTTTAAATTCATGCTATAATCTTTATTTATTTGATAAATTCCCAACAATCTAGAAGTTTGAAAAGTTTATAGCTTTGATTTAAATCTGAAATTATTTTAAAGTTACTGTTCATTCGAGATGGTTACTGTTCATCCGAATTAAAAAAAAAGAAAGAAAATTGCTTATCTTTTTGTTAAAAAAAAAAGTTTTGTTACTGTTAAAAAAAACAGAGGAATTTTATAGTTGTTGTTAACACAAAGAAAATGTAATTGCTTTAATTATATATTTGTTTATCTATTAGTATTATTGATTTGATGTTATAAAATCCGAGAAAAAAAATATAACTGTTACTGTTCATTCAAAAAAAAAAGAATTTACTGTTCATTTATTAAAAACGGTACTGTCCATTTTATTAAAAAATGTTATTGTTCATTTAAACATTTTTGGTTTATAATGCTGGAAAAACTTGTAAAGTTAGAGCAAGTATCAGATTGCAAGTTACGAATATCAAAGAACCTTTATTGGTTTCTAAAAGCCTAGTTTATATTTGTTAGAATCATCTAAAACCTACTCTTATCCCCTTGTGCTAGTTAATATGCACGCATTTGAAACATGCTATAAATTTGCAGCAGTGTACATTTTTATTCTTAAAAATTTTATATGCATGGTTTTGACAAGAATAAAGAGAACAAACTCTGGATGCATAAATGCTTTGAAATATCTGGATTTTTTCAGGGTTTAATGCTTTTATTTCTTTAACCTATCAATATGGTACCTTCTATTATTAATAATTCCATACTTTTGGTTTAATACTATTATTTCTTTAAGCTATCAATAATATGGTGCATTCTATTAATAATTCCATACTTTAGTGTATTTATGCATCTAATAAGCTTAGTACAGAAGGTGGTAAAAGTGAATGCAGATTTGTTCAGCAACTTAAGTGGCAGCTGTCTGCAGCAGATGAGTTTTACTCTCAAGACATGAAAATCATGAGGTTCGAACATCAATAGGTAAACCCCTCCTCGGCCTTATCCATCATATGTTTGCAGTATAATTGCTAGGCAATTTAAATGATTGCAGGAAATAATTTAAAGTTTCTATATACTGTTAAGGAACAAAAACTCATTGAGTGAACCGATTCAAGTTTTCTTGGATTAGTTGGTGTCTAAGGCAAGGTTTAAGGGTTGCGTAACGCGCTCTGCAAGGAACGAGGTACTTAATTGATCTTTGATCAACCTCTATTACTATCCTTACCTGGCTAACTACCCGAGTAAAACTTTAATCTTTTCACTTTAGGAGTTTTTGGTTTGGAATAAGAGGACCGGAATTATGTGAAAATTCATATGCATTTATTTAATTACGCTTCTTGCATCATATATTGCCTAATGATAAATGATCAATATATGAGCGAACAAATCAAAGAGGTGCATTTTTTAAAATTCTATTTTATATGGTGGATTATATTTCAAATCTTCAAATGTAAAGTTCATCATTTTTATTGCATTTTGATGAATATTGCAATAAATGCTCATATATCTTTTTAGATAACTTGCATTTTTTACATGATTAATTACAAGGTTTTATGCAAGAATGCACTTGTAAAATTTAAAGCACGTATGTACAAATATTATTATTATTATTATTTGTATAAGAGGTGGTACTAGAAAATGGCAACATAAATTTGGAAGGTCTCCTTTGTAGACAACCAATTTAAATTTGGAAGGTCTCATTTGTAGGCAACCGATTTAAATTTGGACGGTCTCCTTTGTAGGCAACCAATTTGTAACCTCTTATAATAGAAGAATTTTAAAAATTTTATGCATTTGAATTATGAAGTATGAAATACATTTTAAGATACGAAAATATTTTTTTAAGATACGAAATCCTATTATGCTCTGCATGTATCTATTATTAATTTCATTCATGTATGTGCATATGCATAACTGCAGAATTTTTAGTTCCACATTAGTTTGAAATGTTCAGATATTAAGGTCAATCTCTTCAGACATAGACTATGATCTTTTATGATCATAGATCATGACCTAATGTCAATTTCAAACAATATGATGGACTAATTACAAAATAAGAACTTGATAAATAAATACAACGCCTGCTAGGCAAAGTTATGATTCTAGACTTTGTAAAGTCTGTGAAAAGAATCTTGATGACCCTTTGACTAAGGGATTATCCAGGAGTGTGGTTCTGGATTCATCGAGGGAGATGGGGTTAAGCCCATAGATGAGGTCACTGACAGCGGCAACCCAACCCTTATTTGGAGACGTAGTCCCAATGTCGGTTCAATGTGGTAGAAACAAGCTGGACTAGTGACACTCGTGTGGAGCATCGACCTAGATATATTTATATATCATTATGTAGCATTTGCTACTACCCCTTCTCTATGATGACGATGCTCTTATGATACAGCTGGCTAGGCTAAGTTTTACTCTTAATAAGTCCAACGCGTGTATTGTGGGGGGTATTAAATAAACAGCTGTAGTACCCTTTGAGGACTTACCTACGTGAGAGGAACCGTGATGGCCGCGGTTAGGGGGGGCTGGGCTAACCCCTAGAAACTCTCATGAGTCGGTTTTTTGTGAGCATGGCCTTTAACGCTCAACCCGCTTTGCTCAATAGATGAAGCGTATTGTGTGTGTTTTTATCAATACCTGATTCAAGGGGCCTAATTCAAGGCCTAGTCCATTATGTCCCTCAGGTGGCGATGAACTCACTAAGGAAAGGTTCAAAGCCGAAAGCTACCTTTCCCGAAGTCATGATACGATAGGTTGCCCAACCTATTTTTATTTTGTGATTTATTAATTTATTTATTGATTTTTAAGTTTTCAGTCAATATTGCCTTTTGGGGGGGACTGTTGGATATTTTTAAAGAAAAGGCAATTTTGCCTTAATGAATTCTAATAAATTTTTGTAATTAAAATATGCAATTAAAATATGTTTTAATGTCTTTTAATTTGTAATTAAAATGGGCATAATGACTATACATTATGACGAACGTTACGAAATTTATTGAGGGATTTTGTAACGGCTCTTTTCAACCCCTATATAAACAACATATGTTGAGCTCAAGAAACATGAAGAAAAATGTGGAAAACTTATCTTGTTTTCTTTTCTCCTCTACATATCATTTTCATCTATACTTTAGTTTTACTTTATGGGCAACTTCTTCATCTGAGCTGAAGCTCTGCACTCTCGCCCGAGTGCAGAGGCCGGGCCGTTTCCGGGGGTTTTTACCGCTAGGGGAGAAGGGATCATCTGCGCCAGGGCGATAGGCGGGGCCTCAATCTTCTAGGGCAGTGTTTACACGACTGCTCCCGTCAGGCCTGTTTCTCTAATTTATATTATCTATCTTTGATGTATTATTTATTTAATTTCCGGGTTTAAATTCATGCTATAATCTTTATTTATTTGATAAATTCCCAACAGAAAGACCTTGGGTGGCAATCCCTTAGTAAGAGGATCTGCTATCATGGAGTTTGTTCCAATGTATTCTATGGATATCAGTCTACTATGTACCATTTCTTTC